GGTCTCACCTCACCTTACCTTCCCTTTCTGAGCTAATCCATCCATCCGCACCAGATCAGTGCCTCCCAGCTCAGACGCCACTGTAGGTATCAAGGACTAAAACACGATTTAAACACAATTTTATTCTCTGGCTTTCAGCCCAGCTTGAGACTGCGTTGTCCTAGTGCAGGGATGTCCAAACACCGTCCTCAAGGGCCATTGCCCTGCCCATTATCATTCTCTCCGTGCTGCAACACACCTGATTCAAATGATCAGTATCATTTTCAAGTTTCTTCAGAGCTTGCTGATGAGCTGATCGTTTGAATCAGGTGCGTTGCAGCAGGGAGCAATGGAAAACAGGCAGTGCATTGGTTCTTGAGGACTGGCGCTGGACTCGTGCGTCTTGTTTTACTTTTATGGTGTCTGCTGTATTTTAGATTTATGTTTGTTATTGTATGACTTTTTTTTTTTTTTGCCGTATGTATAGCACTTTGTAGCCAAGAATGTTTTAAAATGGTCTATGAATAAAATTGAGTTCGGTAAGTGAAAGATGAACAGACGTATGATTATTATTGTTCTATTCATATGGCAGCAGGCGGTTGCAATTTAATGCCATATCTACCAAGCATGATCGTGTCTTTGAACATGAAGGATAGAATGTCTGAGTTGAGGTCACATTCAAGCAACTAAGTTGTCAAGAAGAAAAATCATCTTTATTATTTGAATTGAATGCAGGTGGCAAAGATGGGAATCTTGCAATTACGCATCAATGACCACACAATGATCATTATGATTAGAAGTGAATGCTGAAAGACAAGATTTATTTTGGATTCAGAACAACTCACATTCTCTGGTCTAGTTTGACATGCCCAAGTAGCCCAGGTGGTGGACTGGATGTTGCTAGTCCAGGTGGGTGTGTTTCTAGCCAGTAACAAGTTTTCTGGGTGAGGAATGTGGTGGCTTCGGTGGACTGTTTTCATCTCGAATAACTGGGGTTGGCTCGGTCTGTCTTGGTGGGAACCAAGGTGGTGATCCAGGTTTGAAAGGTCATGTTCCAGAATATTTTTTGCATCTGGAGTAACAAATGGCCCAGGGGGTGGTTCAGGTTGCAGTGTGCTAGTCCAGTTCGGAAGGGTCGTTGGGGCAGGTTGACCATTTGGTGTTCCGGTGGGTATTGTTTTTCCAGGACAACAGGTGGCTGCACTGGTGGCTGCTATATGCTGGGGTGGCTAATTATGATATGAAATTAGTGTGGTCCTAGCGATGGTATAGCCTGACATGATGGCGGGTGGGTTCTTTTCATCCTTAGTCACAGGTGGTCCGGGTGATCCAGGTTGTTAAGATGATGGGTCATAAAATACTGGATCAGTGGTTGTGGCAGTGGCCCAAGTAGTGAACAAGTGATAGCCCAGGTGGTTAAGATGGTGATGGCTAATATGGTGGTGGTCGAGGTGGCCAAGGTGCTGGTTGCCCAGGTGGCCAAGGTGCTGGTTGCATAGGTGGCCAAGGTACTGGTGGCCAAGGTGCTGGTTGCATTGGTGGCCAAGGTGCTGTTGGCCAAGGTTGTCGTAGCCCTTGTGGCCAAAAAGGCCAGTATGGATATTGTTGCGGTGGCCCGGGAGGACCTGGTGGTCCAGGTAGCCCTGGTGGACTAGGTGGTCCTGGTGGTCCAGGTGGTCCAGATGGTCCTGCTGGTCCAGGTGGTCCTGGTGGCCCACATGGCCCTGGCGGTCCAGGTGGCCCAGCTAGTCCAGGTGGTCCCGGTGGCCCATTTAGTCCTGGTGGACCTTGTGGCCCATTTGGCCCTGGTGGACCATCAGAGCCTGGCTCACCATCTGGTCCAGGTGGACCTGTTGGACCTTCTGACCCTGGTGGACCCTGTGGTCCTTGTGGACCCTCTGGCCCTGGTGGCCCTGGTGGCCCCCTACCAGGTTCCCCTGGTGTAAAAAATGGAAACCCTGGTGGTCCTGAAGGTGGACCAGGTGGTCCTGAAGGTGGACCTTGTGGTGACCTACATGGGAATTTGTTACTCAGATTGTACACTGGCATCTGGAAAAAAAAAAAAACATCTGTGTCGGCTGGCACTTTACCTCTTTATCTTCGTAGAAAGACAGCTGTTTCCTGTGAAAAAGAGTTGACATCTTTGTTACATGGTGACCTTTCACTGACTCTTTGTTACTTGCTAATTGAGAGTTTGATGACTTACCGAACAGCACAAGGGCAACAGCGAACACCTTGAGAATGCTCATTGTGGCTGATGATGACCTAAAAGACATTGAAAAGGGACAGTAAACATACATTGAGAGAAAGTGAACATGCTGCCAGAGCTGGCTACTTGGAGAGTGTCAGTTTGTTGAAGCCCAAGTTCCATGCCAAAACACAAGGTACCTGGACTGTCCTTGGGAGGAAGGCTGATAAATCTCTTATTATTGCCATAAAATGCAAATGAATGATTTAAAAACATTTGATATATCACAGAAACAGAATTCAATATTTGATGCAGAAACCTTTGTTTGTAATTGAAGATATTTTTCCATTGTTCTTCAGCAGGTTTGCACACACTGCAGCAGGAATTTTGGCCCACTCCTCCATACAAACCTTCTGAAGAGTGTTCAGGTTAAGGGGCTGTTGCTGGGCAACACGGACTGTGATTTTCTGGATTTTTGTTTTAGATTATGCCCCTCGCAGTTGAAGAGTGCCTTTGATGCAAATTACAGACCTCCACCTTTATAAATGGGAAAATTAAAAAAAAATCAGCAGTGTATCAAATACTTGTTCTCCCCACTTTACCGTATGTGCTTTGGACGTGGAGTGCTAATAAACAACTGGTACATATTTGTTTATTATTACTATCTATTAATCTACCTAGTAGCAAGGAGCTGGGTGGGGTAGGTCAAGAAGGCTACTGCCTAAAAGCTGGGTTAGGCTCCAGCACGGCCATGACCCTGGTGAGAAAAAGTGTATTAGAAAATGGATGGGTGGATGGATGGTTTATATTCGGTGGGTATTTCCAAGCTGTATTTCTTTTTTATGCCGACAAGCTGTAATTCATCAGTTAATTGAGTCACTTTGAAGTCAATTGAGCTCACAAAAGGTCACCGCCCCTGCGACCTTACGTGCTTTGTACGTAAAGTCATAACATGTTTTCAAACAGCCAGTACATATTTCTTTATGATTATTGTTTTTTTTTTAATCTACCTAGCAGCAAGGAGCTGGGTGATGCAGGTCAAGGCTACTGTGGATTTGCAAAGAGGACAAACTGGTCTGTCTCCTTTGAGTCAGTTTAGTACCAATCACGAATGGCACATTTCCAGCCATCGATCCATTGTCAACACATCTTATCCTGAACAGGGTCATGGTGGGGTGCTGGAGCTTATCCCAGTTGACTTCAGGCAGAAGGCAGTCTCCACTCTGAACTGTTCGTTCGTCAGTTGCAGGGCACATATAGAGACAAAGAACCATTCACACCCACATCCACACCTCCACTTCGGGGGAACCAATCGCACGCTGCCTGCTCACAACTTAGGCAAGTGTACTACGACACTGTCACAACTATCATGGCACATTAGTTGAAATAAACGTGTGTTGTGGGAAAAAAAAATTATACAATTTCATAATTGCACCAATTTCACAATTGCACCATCCTTTTGTTAAGATAGCAACAATTTATGTTGGTCAGAATGGACCTGCAATTCTTATTTTGGTTCATCGGACTTGAAGCACTCAATCCGACAGGTCTGCTCACCAAACAGCTTCTTTTTCGGTGTGTGCCCATATCCAGTTCAGGGTGGAGGGGAAAGAGTCGTCTCTTCGTGACAAGCATCGCAAGCAAATCGCAAACTGTAAATCATGTGAGTCACTGGCACAGACTTTTGCAACAGTAAAGGAATAAATGTTTTTAAGATGGGCAATAATTCGATATCACGATGTATCACGATAGCATGATCAATATCAACAGAAAATACCTTCAATGAAATGTGTGAGAGGAAAAAAATCGGGAAGAAAACGGCGATCCTGGCATTCTGCATGCTGAAGACAGGCGAATGCATGGCACTAGATTTGTGCTACAATTATGAGCATGTAAGAGAAAATTACAAGCACAAAAGCATGTTTTGAGCATGCTCGTTTGCCAAGTGCCCACATGAAGGAAAAGCCGCTTGAACCAACAAAGAAGTCGTGCGTATGTGGCTACGCAGGCCAAACAAAAGTGTCGCTTCACTTTTTTTTCAAATAAATGACTGGTTTCCTCAGTGCAACACTTAGAACAGTGTTTTTCAAACCCTGTGCCGTGGCACACTGGTGTATTGTCAGGTGTGCCATGGGAAATTATCCAATATGTATGCCTGTGCGGTCTATCGCCTGACATTGTAATCATGTAGTACTCTTCCATCCCAGTAGGGAGCAGCAGCAGCAGCTAATTGTCTTCTGCTTCGAGACAAGCGAAGTTTGCGGCGCGAGGCAATACAACGAAAGCTATCTTTCATTTAGATTTACGTTGACCGGAGATGCAACGGCACCAATGTTCTCTCTAACTGCGCTCTGGTCGCACACTCTCAGTGCACAAGAAAATCCAGTGAAGTGAACGCACTGCAAATGAATTAGATGTATACCTTTTTTTTCTGTATCAATTTGCTGTGTAATTTAGTGAGCGACAGGTGTCCAGCCAATCACATGATACGATGCAATGACGCTATGCAGGCAATAATGGTACTGACAGTACTTGCGCATGTTCTCTGCGCCATAACGGTGCGGCGATGATAAGTGATCCTAATGCGAATCCTTTATCATGGTGAAACAACCGGGCAGTGAATCTGATACGTCGACTCCCCAACCCAAAATAAGAATGAACTGCGGTGCTTTTAAGTTGGAATGGCTGTTGGAGTCTGTGCAGTTGGCTGTCAGAGTATATCTCACCCAGTTGAGTGAGAAATTTTCTTTTTCGAGTGAGAAAGGTCTGCTCTGTAAAACATGTAGCAAAGCTAAAGTTGTAAGCGAATTTTCCGATGGAAAAATATGGACTAAATGGAAGCTGGACAACCTCAAGCAACACAATCAGCAGAAAAGTCATTTGAATTTTGTTGGAATTATACAAAGACTCAAGATGGGAAAAGGGATCGGTACAATATTGCGGGAGAGCGCAAACAACCGGGAGAAAAAACAAAACGGCTGTCACACAGAAAAAAATCCGACCCTGAGCAAGTTAAAGTTCTAATTGACTATATTTTACTTGCCATAAAAATGAATGCACCAAATATTGGATTGGTTTTGATATGATTCCTATTCAATGTGTTATAATATTGCGTTACTTTTCAATATTAAAAAAATGCTGATAGTAACAATATCACACTTAATTGTTCAAATAAGCTTTTTTTCACATTTTCAGGTAGTGGTGTGCCGCGGGATTTTTTTCAATGAAAGAAATGTGCCTTGGCTCGAAAAAGATACTACTAACCTGATTAAACACTATCGGATGGTTACGTGGCGTAGTAGTCAAGGAGTTACCTGTCTTTGACACGCTAAAACCTTTGCATCACAAAACCTTTTGCCAAATATTGTAGGCAAGACAAAGGACAAAGACATGAGGACACACTGGGGAGAGGTCCTCAGTGGCCAAATAGACTTTTTTTTTTTTTTTTTTCATTGATTCATTCATTTTCCAAAACAAACCCTGAAACATGATCCCACAGGATAAAATCTTTGATTTGTGATGCTGAATTATTTAGTATTCCGAATGGCCTCTATCTTGTGAGTCATGCATTGTGAGTCATGCATAATACTGTCAGTGACAAGGAAACTGATAAAGGGCCACTGATACTCTGCAACGTCTTTCTTTCACTTGCTGTGTATTGATATAGTGGGACGAAGTGCTGTAAATATTTAAAAGGCGTAGTTCATAATCTTTCCCTCCACCGTGTACAACTCGACAGGAGTCCTGAATATTAATGTTCATGCCATGCCTGAAGCGGGAAATGAGCGATGTCAGATGCGTCTGTGCTTTCATCGCAGGTTCTCAACTCAACTCAACTGTATTTAGAGAGCACTTTCAAACATCCATCGCTACATACAAATTCTGCACAAGGAGCAACTAACATATACAACATTAAAGCAATAAGTCAGTAACAAAAATGGTAGAAAGCACCAAACAATAACACTAATATCAAATCTGACTCATGCTGAGTCAAATGCCAAAGAATACAAGTGAGTTTTGAGACAGGATTTAAAGATGGGCAGCGAGGGGGCTTGCCGAATGTTCAGTGGGAGGTCATTCCAGAGAGCGGGACCGGCAACGGAAAAGGCTCGATCCCCTCTGAGCCTCTGTTTAGTTCTTGGTACTTCTAATAATGTCTGGTCCGCAGACCTGAGGCGCCGGACAGGTGTGTAGGGGCAGATGAGCTCAGAGAGATAAGGTGGTGCGAGGTCATTTCAAGATTTGAAAACAAATAATAGGATCTTGAAAAGAACTCTAAAATGTATAGGGAGCCAGTGAAGGGATGCCAGAGTAGGAGTTATGTGCTCCCTCCTTCGAGGACCAGCCAAGAGGTGAGCAGCAGCATTCTGGACGAGCTGGAGACCCTTAATGGAGGATTGGCTGACTCCAAAGTAAAGGGCATTGCAGTCATCGAGCCGGGACATGATGAAGGCATGAATTCCTGTCTCAAGGTGCTCATGAGAAAGGAGAGGTTTTACCTTAGCCAGCTGTCTAAGGTGAAAGAAGCTGATTTAACAACGGCACCAATTTGCTCGTCAAGTTTAAAATCACTGTCCAGTTTAAGACCCAAGTTTGAGACTGTTGATTTCAGATAAGGAGACAGGGGGCCCAAGTCTACAGGATGGGATGTACAAGGGCCACTGGGACCAAACAGTATCACCTCTGTCTTCTTTTCATTGAAATTCAAGAACTTTTGTGCCATCCAGGTTTTAATTTCTTCCAGGCAGGATAAAAGTGGCCTTAATGAGAAAGCGTCTTTTTTGCTCAGTGGGACATAGATCTGACAGTCATCTGCATATCAGTGGAAGGAAATACCATGTGTCCTTAAGATGGAACCCAATGGGAGCAGGTAAAGTGAGAACAGCAGAGGCCCCAGAATTAAGCCCTGTGGAATATCACATGACAGAGGAGCAGTACGTGACTCAGAGCAGCCAAGTGTGACACAAAAGGTTCTGTCAGCTAAATAGGACCTAAACCACTCAAGAGCACTCCCGCCAATGCCCACCAAGTGCTGCAGACGAGTCAGCAGAATACTGTGATCCACTGTATCAAATGC